ATTTGCCTTCTGAGTCAGCGTCACTTCCAGGTTACTGTTCCCTAGAAAAACAGATCAACTTTTTCTCTTGCATCCTTGGCACTGTATTGGTGATGCAATTTTTCTCTCAGACGCATGTCATGCTTGCTCTCAGCTAAGCCCCTTCACCTTTCCATCCCTCTCACTCTTCACACTAATCCACTGGAATTTGGACCCCCCTGTGCTGTTCCACCGGTGCTGGCTGAGAGTAGAGCCTGCTAAAACCACAGCCAATTTGCTCTGCACCTTCCTCTTTTCTTGCCCAGTGTTTATTTTTCACACAAAATACACCTGAAGGGGGACATAACCACTTCTGCCTCTTAACTCCAGTAGTGTTTTCCTCAAAATGCACGTTTTCAACCACCTGGACGAAAGGCAGGATTTAGTCTCATTTATGTCCTCAAAACACACAGATACAGGCAAGGTTGCCAAAGCCTCACTTTTGGAAGGGGCATTTTAACTAGGCCAGAAGTGTTTCAGAGCCCTCATCAGGACTGGAGGTTAGCGTACAAATGCCAAGAGTCACCCTGAGCTTCAGCAAACTCAGCTGTGACAGGAATTCAGAAATCCTGGGTGCAGAAGGGAGAGCAATGCTAACGTTTCCCTGGGGAGATGCTGCTTTCCAGTCCCTGCTGTTAGCAGGCTCTGAGGGTGAAAACATCTAAGCTGCAATTGCTCATCCAAATTTCCAACCCTTTGGGCCAACCGTGGCTACTTCAGATCATCAGTCCACGGAGCGACTCAATAGGCTTAGCCCTTCTCTCCTCACCCGAAACCAGACTTGGGAGGGAAAATCCCCGCAGCTTTCCCTGTGAATTTGCTTCCCATTACGCCATCGACTTTTGAGACCTGATTTTCACTGTGTCCCTCCATTCTCCCCCCCAGCTAAGCTGACTGGGAGCAAGGCAGTGGGATTGAATTGCATCTGAGAAAGCCATACATGAGGCGAGTGAAACACGCTGCCAAAATACCACCCCGCTTATGGGAAGCAAGAGGATTGTATTTCATTTTGCAGTTCGCTCAGCTGAATCCCAAAGCCTCTGGCTGCCTGGAAAGCTCCCCTCTCTGCTCCAGCACTTTTTGCTAGTGACAGTTAACAAATTCAGAATATTGACATGCTGTTAACAAAGCAATCTCTAGCTGCACTCTCACCACAGGAGATTTGGTGCAGCAGTCTCTGCTCTCTGTGTGCTCACATAGTTTCACCATTTTTCCACCATCAGACACTGGTGATTACTTTGTGAGCTGATGGCAGAGATTATTTTAAAGAATTTATTTTACACACACAAACTCAGTTGTACAAACAATCGTAACTTCCCACTAGTTTATCACAAGGCTCCTGGTTATGCCAGTTCCTCTGGCATAAACTCCTTGTGAGTGCATTCAGGTAAAGCTGTGGAGAAACCCTTTTCCTTTAGGAATCAGTAATCAAAGCAAAATGTAAGTCTAGAATAAGCTGGACTGGTCTGAATCCATTCAGCAGCAATTCTGCTTTTCTGCACTTTTTTACTCCCACAAGCAAACCCATGGCCAGTTTGAGTTGCTCACACAAGCAGAGGAGACTCAGTTTGAGTCCTCTCCTTCTGACTTGAAGCATCGCCACCTGAATTCCCCAGTGACACATTCATACAGGGCAGGATACACAAATGAGATGTCCTGCTTTCCTCCTCTGGGAATACTGACTCCAGTGAAATCCTGCTGACTTACACTGATTTACCTCTGTCCTACTGTCTCCCCAGCTCCTGAGGGAAAATATCAAGGTCAAAAAAAAAAAACAAACAAACATTAAAAAGGAAACAGATAAAACTTTACTTTTCTAGAGCACAAGTGTTTCTGCTTTCAATTCTATACAAAGTTCCAGGACACTGGGGTTGGTTTTGTTTTCCTTGGTACCAGTGCTCAGAAACCTTCCAAGAACACCCAGTGACGCAAATGAGGTCCTGAGGACGTAATTTTGTTATTGTCAGGAAACTGCAAAGATGAACAGGGTGCAACCTTCTGAAATCATGTGGTTTCTGGTGGGGGGAAGTTGGTGAAGCACAGTTATGAAAAACGAAAGCAAAGCAAGGTAACAGCATCTGTGAAATGGGTCCTAAAACCCATTATCCTTGTTTAAAATTATGCTCTTCATGAAAGCAAACAGATCAAATGCTTTCTAAACTTAGATACATCCATTTGTAAAGAATCTTTAAGCACCTACACCTAATTGCATCTTCCTAGCAGAAGAATTTGATTTTCATTTCAGAGCTTTGTACCCTTCAAGGCTCAGTGAATTCTCACTAGTCCTGTTCAAGGTTAGAGGCCAGAACTTTTAGTGAGGGGATAATCCAGTTATTAAGGCTATTATGGCCTTATCCTGCAATACAAGAGAACCCAGGTTTAATTCCCTGATCTTCCATAGGCCTCCCGTGCCATGTAATTACTTATAATCATTTATGTCACTGCAGTAGTTGAATGCTCTGATTTTCCAGAGCTCTTAACATCATGAGTTGGAAAGCAATGTCACAGCTGTAAATCAGGGAGCTTGAGTGCATGTTTTGCTGGAGGTAAACACAGCAGTGATTAGAAGATGCTCATGTAGTCATAATGCTGTATCTAAGAGAAATATTAGCATCAGAAGTCTGTGAGAAGAAGAAAAATCTACATATTTAGCAGCTAGAAAATCTACTATCTTCCTTAAAAAAAAAAAAAAACAGGTTTACTACACCGTGCTATACTGACACATAAAATCACTGACCAAACGTTGTACACTGCAAATATAATACCTCACCAGTGACTGAATTGTTATAACCGAAAATAAAGCAAAGTGTGGGGAGGTTGTTCCATTTTAATGTCCCAGACCATCTCATGACAGGATGTTTTCTTCCCATTAAAGCCAACATGCTCTAATGCCTCTAAAAACTCAGCATGAGAAAGGAATGAGGAAATAAGGAGCTCCTCTAGTGAACAGCTCTTGAACCCCAAAGCAGCTACTGTGAAGCTGAAGAAATTCAGGCAGCAGCCAACAATCATCACTGCTGTAAAACAAGATGCACCAGTCACCTCCAGGTAGCAGCCAGCCGGGGAACAGAAACACTGAAGAACTGAAGGTCCAGTAAAAACTTCAGTTGTAACTTCCCACTAGTTTATCACAAGGTTCCTGATTAATGCTCTGAATTTCAGCCTCTTACCCAGAGCAGACATAGGGTAGTGCTTCTCTTGAGCAGTGCATGTGCATTTCAGAGAGTTTTGCTTTCACTTAGGTTTCATCAGCAACACGTGATGGAGCAGGCAAGCAGAGTGGCTGGAGAGATGGCAAGTAACCAGCAGTAACTAAGCTGCCTGTGCAGTTTTGGAAACACTCAACTGCTTTCTATTTAAAGTCTTAGCTCCCTCCTCAATCCTGGCCTTTTTTCTCCAGTGCCCCTCATGGTGTTTCTTGCCTGTTAATCACAGAAGGGACCCACTGTTAAAATTTGGGCTCTGAACACAAACTAGAGCAGCCAGGGGTGACTGCAGCTTGCACTGACTGTTTCTATAAGGCTCCTATCAGAATTAAGAAAATAAGCTTCTCATCAAGAGGCTAAACCACAAATCATATTTTACTACTCCCTGAGACTCCTGTTAGGATGAGCATCTACCTGACCACATTTTACCTCTATCTCATACTTATGCAAGATACCTGCAACAAATCCACTCTGCTATTACTTCAGCTGAACAGGAATTGGCTCAGGCATTCAAGAGTCCCAGCTCAACCACATGAACACTGCTATGGAAGCTGCAACGAATCTGAACTTCACATTTTTATGTTTTATATACGTTGCAGGTTATTTTCAAAACCCAAGAGGGCCTTCAGCATGACAAACAATCACTCCTGAGCACAACTTGTGGTTTAAAAGCTCCTCTGCCTCCTCAAGAAGTGGATTTTTTTTTCTCAATTGATTTCTGTGGAATTTAACAGATGCGATTTCAGCTACAGAAAGTAGTTGCTCAACTCATACACAACAGAAACCCTTCAGCAGAAAAATTCCAGATTTTTATTACTAAAAAGCTGCTGAAAACAAGCTCTCTTCTTTCCCTTAAGTGGGCCCATCACTGATTACCCCACGTCTTTGTATCAGTGCTTCACAAGTTAATATAAATTAATATGTCATCCAATCATTTCTTAGATCCTCCGTTACCACAATATCTAGTAGTATCCAGTCTTAAATACATCTTTGTTCCCTGTGCTTCTGCAAGGAAAGGGAATACTCTGATCCCTCTCTCTCTCCAGAGAGTGCTTGGAGATATTAAGTGATTTGATGAGGGGCAGGGAGCAGAACAGCCAAGTAAGGCCTATAGTTTAATCACCTTTTGATTCCTTACAGAAAAGCCAGGTACTTCCACACACAGCCCAAAATCCTAAAAAGCTTCATTCCCATGTCATGGGAAAAGATGTGAGGCACGTGGATAAAAGAACCATGGAAAAAGTGAGGAATACATGGTAGGACAAGGACAAAGTGTCGCCAGCAGCAGCTCTCTCCACAAAAATCAAACCTCTGTCTTTCCATGCAGGTAGGCGGCAGTCCTGGGGGATGCTGTTAATACCCACGGCCAGAACGAAGAATTATCACGAAGCCCTCACTTCTTCGCCACTGCAGTCACATGGAAACCATAATACAGTCAGTACTGACTAAACACTGTGTTCACCTGCTGCTTCCGTTCTGGACGACGATGGCGTGCTGTCAATCATTAAGCTACCAGGGGAATGCCCAGACACACAGACATGCTCACACTTCTCTTGCCAAGTTGGCTACTGAGCCATATAAAGGCCATAACTATGCAAACACACCTAAGCGTGGCAGGACGTGTTTTTTTCTGTTTACCCTTCAATCCAAGATAAGAAGAGGGTCAGGGTCAGGGTAACTGCAATTTCTGCGTGCCAATACCCCAGCCCTGTTTTCCTTTGCTGGAGTTAGGATGAAGAAAGCCAGGACAGAGAGGAAACGGCCAAAGGAACTCACTGCTTTGAGGATTGCCACCGCATCCTGCTGGAGCCACGTCGGGTAGACGACTTCGTCGTTCAGAATGGCCTCGAAGAGGTCGTCCTCGTTCTCCGCCTCGAAGGGCGCGTGGCCACACAGCATCTCATACAGCAGCACACCCATGGCCCACCAGTCCACGTCAGGGCCATACAGCATCTCCTGCAGGATCTGGGGAGCAGGTGGGAAAGAAGTATCAACCCTGAAGCTTTGCAAATTGGGCAGGAGAGGAAAAAGTATTTGGGAACGTTAACGCAGAAGTTCTCGCTACGCCCTAACAGTGCTCCCTGCTAGGCTGGTGGATGTCTGGGAACATAAAAAGGTGATCTCACTCTGGGAATGCCCAGATCAGCACAGAGGTACCTCAGTGCATTATACAAGGGGTGAACTAGTTTAGCTGCTCAAAGGGCCACCTGGGAAACAAGCCCTTAGAGTGATGCTGGGGCTGAGCTGGAGAAGAGGCACTTCAGCAAAAGTGGCTGAGCAGCCAAGTGTGTGAGTTGACATCACCTCTTCCTTGCCCCTGGGAGGGAAACGTTTACCTGGCTCCAGTGGCAAGGCTATCTGCTGGAGAGGAGAAGGAGTGCAAGTGTGTGAGAATGGTTACAAACATGAACCACAGACAAAAATTCGATTGCGATGAAGGATCTGAAACCCTGTCAGAACATCTGGCAGCATCTGGAGGGCAGCTGTTCCTTGAAGAGGTGCTTATTAATTTTGTAGTGAGATTGGGGAATGACAGGGAATGCAAGGAGGTAGAAAAAGGAACTGGAAAATGAAGGAGAATTCACTCTCCTTTCAAATCAAACTGGGACAGCATCTGTATGTGACTCTCAAGATTTTTGCAGTTCCATTTCCATTTTTCACCTCACATTTTCTAATTTAAAAAATGGGCTTATCCTGGTGCACACAGCAGCCTGAAGATTTACTTATGCTTTGTTCGCACAAGGGACTGATAATACATTTAGGAGGAAACCTTGAGCTCGGCAGTCAAATAAGGCATAGCTAAAGACACCAGGGAGTGCACTTTGGCTGTTCCAAAGCTAACCTATGCATTCCATATTGCAGCCAAGTTTTCCCGGCCAAAGGAAGGTTTCCTTTACCTCTGGAGCGATGTAGTCTGGCGTACCACAGAAGGTGGCTGTGGTGATGCCATCATGAATGCCCTCTTTGCACATTCCAAAGTCTGCCAGCTTGCAGTGCCCCTCGTAGTCCAGCAGCACGTTGTCCAGTTTCAAGTCCCTGCAACGAGAACCATTCACAGAGTTGCTACGTGCTTGGAGCAGCCCCAGCACAGATGGAGGCAGCATCCCAGGCCTCAGAAGCTCAACCTGTAAACTGGACAAGCCTCATCATCATCGTAAAAAAAAAAAAATAAACAGAAGTCATGCAGGATGGGGTTTTCTTTTACTTCATCTCTTACAAAAGGGAGGGAGGAACAAACACCATTCTGCCGACCAGCATTTAAAGTGGGCAGGTGCTACAGGATTTCACCCACATGGCTTTCCAAACATACCACAAGCCTGGCTGGCAGGGCTCCTGCTCATTTAGCTCTAGGACTCACTGGAGCAGAGGTTGCCAGAGCTGTCAGATTGCGTAAGGATGTTATGATGCAGCAAAATGCACCACACGGGACGTGCTCTGATTCAGCAAAGCGCTGGAGCAGACAGCTGGAGCTTGGGAGGAGAGCAAGGTCTCTGTAGAGGGGCAGCAGATCCCCTCTTCTCCCGAGGTGTGGCGGGTTCAGCCACAGACTTCCCTGTATTGGGGCAAGTCTGACGAATAAACCCCAACTGGAGCATTTTCCAAGATCAGAAGTAAAGAAACTTCCTGCTGGCATCACTCCACATGGGCAGGGGGAATCTCTGGGCAGCATGGGATGTCTCCATCATAAGGCAAAGTCTTTAAGTCCTCCCAGCTGTACTGATTCCAGTAGCAGAACAATATAAGAAGTGAACTTCCCCCACAGTGCTCATTTGGGTAGGGACCTCCTTGTCACTGTCACAAGAGACCTGCAGCCCAACAAGCTGCAGAGAGGCACATTTTCCAACACGTCACCTCTAACAGCCTGGGAGCTCCTCATCAAAAGCAGATCTGCCAAAATGACAGAGCCCTAACAAAGCTTATCAGCTTGCCTGACCTTGAGACTGCCCAAGGGAATAGCCCACAATCAGAAGCACTGTCAGGAACATGACCAGAGAGCATGGGGTCACCTGCAGACTTAGGCAATGCCTGCCTAAAAATACACCAGCTCATAGCACCTCTGTTTTTCAGCTGTCAAACAAGCTCCAGGCACCACTGCAGATGGAGGAAAGGAGCTATGATGGGAGCTCTGTGCAGCACAAACATGTCACAGTTCATTTTTCAAACTGTCTCAGGTATTGGCCCAAGAGATGCCCAGACCCGTCACAGCAGCTCTGTGGCAGGGAGGTGTTACCATCATCATTTTCCTGAGGTGGAGGACACCTTTTAGGCCTAGACAAAGGCACCTTCAAAGTCATTCCTATGCCTAGCTCATGACCAAAAAACTAAATACGTCTGATGATCCCAGGGCCTCTTCATGAAAGCCATGCTGATCTTGATCCACTTTGCTCTCTGGTTGGACATCCATTTCCCTGGAAAGTGGGAGCAGTGGGGAGGGTGGTAACATAAAATCATAGAACTGAAGAACTGGAAGGGACTTTAAAGATTATCTAGTTCCAAGCCCACTGCCATGGGCAGAGGCACCTCCCATTAAACCAGAAGTCCCATCCAACCTGGCCCTGCACACTTCTGGGGATGGGTGATCCAAAACTTCTCTGGACAGCTTGTGACAGTGCCTCGCTACCATGTGAGTAACAAACTTCTTCCTAATATCTACTGTAAATCTCTTTTAGTTCAAAACGGTTCCCATCCTATCACAGGTGATTGCATCTCCATATCAGTATGAAAACCCATGGGTGAGCTGAAATCTGAATCCAGCCTGATCCTGTTCATCCTCCATCTATGATGCTAAAGTGAAAATCACATGGTTGATGGCTCTGCTGTGCACTGGCATTTCCACAGCCCACACCACCACAGGAAGCCTCTCTGGGGCTTGAGACATCTCTCCCTCAACTTCACTTTTGCAGTGGAAAGATCAAGGATGCATTGTGTTAAGACAACCAGAGCCACATCCTCTCCTAAAGAGATAAGGAAAAGTATTATTACTCTCTTGAATGGATAAGAAAGCAAGGGATAGAGGTTAAGGAACTTGCCTGTGTCCCCCAGAGACAAGACCGAACACCAGCTTCCTGAATTCCAGGTCCAGATCTTAATCACAAGATCACACATCCTCTCTCTTCAACTTTCACTCAGTTTGGCAACACAAGCCAGCGAAAAGCCTCCTGCGACGCTGCTGCCCTTTCCCAGCAGGCCCACCAGCCATCCAGTGGCCACTGAAATCTGGATGACAGGGACAGTGCCTGTGCCTGTCTCCCACTGCAGTGTTTGCTCTGGGCGGGATGCTCAGCAGGAGACACTTATTTTTTTTCCCTTCTGAGAATCACAAATGGCTGCTAAGGCCTGTGGGCAAAGGCTTGTCCTGGGAAGGCTTTAGGCAAGCACTGTGAGAGGTATTGTGCTTGGTCACCCATGACAGTCCATCTTCAGTAGCAGTTTACAGCCAAAGCTCCTGTTGCTCTTCCCTGTGGTTCCTGGCAGAGCCAGGAAGCCCTCCAAGCATGAAGGCAGGCCTTGTTTCCAGGAATCTGCAGCGATGTGGTTGAAACGTGCAGTTTATTCTTGGCTTGGGTTTAAATGCAGCAAACACTTCTCAGTCCTGGGCAGTGCTGACTGTTGTGGTGTGCCCTTAAAGGTACAACTGGAAGGGGAATTTTGGTGAACTCACTTGATATCCCCCCCCTCCCTGCAACATCAACCATGTCCTGGCATGCTTTGTGAATACCTCAAAATACACCATCCTTATCCCTGAGCCAGCAGAAACAGTCACGTACATGGAGCAGCAAGAGACAGCTACAGAGCGGGGCCAGCTCTGCCGACCACATCTCCAGGCACGCTGCCACTTCCCAGCCTCTGCCCCACGGGACACGCTGCAGGAGCCCCCAAATCCCTGTTGGTTGGAAAATGCACCACGCTCAGCACAGCTCTGCAGGTGTGAGAGCGCTCTGCGCTCGCTGCATCCTCCCAGAGAGCCTCTACCTCTGTGACTGCCGTCCCGTTTAAACTCTCTGCCTCTCGCTGGATGAGCGCAGTTTTAACCACACGTGGCAAACCTCCAGCCCTTTGGCTTCTCCACATGGCACGCTACACCCATTAACAGCGCCTATTGTCTCCTCCTGCAGCTGGAATGCCGGCTTCTCCTGCTGACTTCCGTCCAGCAACGTGAAATCCAACATTTTCTATTTTCACAAAGCCCGTAACGTGACATTACTCCGGCGCTCGCTTGCTCAGGCCCTTGGCTACGTGCAGATCATTTTGGGATGACCACACAAGACTGCTCGGTGCTCTTTGCTCGGCAAGGTGACAGAAGATCATCCCACATGTCCCTGTTGGAGCAGGTCTTGTGGGCCAGGGCAGTGGCTGGCTCAGCCACGTGGCTCCATTGGAGCCTGCTCTCTCTGGTTGCCCCATAAGATAATTCTCTGGGAAAGTTGTGGTTTGAGCGTTTCTCTCAAGCCATCCCAGCAGTCATTAAGCTCTGAAGTCGCTGTTGGATGTTGACAGGTCCCCCCACACATTGGTACCCTGCGAACCAGCGCAGCCATATGCGAGGAAAAACACTGACAGCTTCTGAGATTTACAAGGAGCTCTTCATTTTCGCAAGAATTCCGGGAAGCTGATGAAACTGGAAGTCATCCAGCTCAGAAGGCCCAAATCTACCTCATTTCCTTAATACTTGCATTTTCCATTCAATATTTTTAGCAGTTCCATGAAGCTGTAACGGCGGAGAGGTTTTCTGAGGCTGCGTTTCAGAGGTCCGGCCGAGGTCCTGCCTTTCACTGGCAAACCTTCCCTGGAAAACAGGCTTCATCCTGACTCAGAAAGGCCGTCTTTGTCCTCACCCACAGCTATGGCACATCAGCTCAACGGCCTTAGTTTAGTCTAGACCCAGAAGAAGTGACAAAACGAGCTGCTTCAGCGTCACTCACTGGAAGAGGTGTTCTTTACACATCTGCTGCTCGAGTTTGACATTTGTAAAAAAACACAAAATTACAATTGCAGATGATCTGGTCCTTTTCCAAAGCAATCTGTCAAAATGCAATTTCCCCGCACCATGGAGCTGTGCCAGTGAATATGTGTTATACACGTACCTGCCACTTGCTCTACTCTGACCATCTCACTCGTGAGGTGCAAACTATATTTGAAAAGATAAAGTTTTGGGGTTTTTTTCCCTGTTATTTTGGTTTTACCTCCCTGCTGTGGTAAGAGCTGTACATGCAGTAAGGATCTTCTTCAGAGGAGGAGGGGTGGCAGAAACTGGCTTCTTGCCTCAGTTCAAGGTTCCCCCAGGTTTGCTGATCTCAAAGGTCCAGTTTAAAGCTTGTAAAAGCCTGGTGTTCCCATCTGAATGCAGATCATTCAGACATGGAAGTTGTAGGTGCAGAGCAGTGGGAGCCAGACACAAAGGTAGGTGTGACAAATGTGAAACTCCGGCCAAATGGTCTTTAAAAAATACACAATGAAAAATGAAGTCCCCAAACCTGAAATCAGCTAAATGAGTAATTCTGGCATTTCTCAAAGGGAAAAAACATTCCCCATAGACCCTCCCTGGAAACACTTTTGGGTGAGCAAATGTGCATTCAAATCCCTTTGCAAGCAGGGAGGAGATTTTGATTTTTCTCCACCTCTTCTGCTGAAGTCATTTGACTTAATAGAAATACTGAAATCTCCATCATGATGGAGAAAAATGTGTTTCTGTTGCCTGCTCTGTAGCCAAAGCAATACACATTTCCAACTCCTACTCCACTGACATTGTAATTATTTTTTTTTTATTTTTTTTACGAAATGAAGCAACTTCAGGAGAGGAGAATGGAAGACATACAACCTGTGGAATAGCACAGTTGGTAAGGTACTTAAAGAAGAGGCAGGATTTTTAAAGTTGGAGGCCCTGTTCCAAACACAGTGGACAACAGATTTAAACCCATATTTTGATTCAATGAGGAGATGAGATGGAGGTCTCAGTTTTATGTAAAGCCCTAAATACTCCTGTGAAGCTGATGTTGTTTCCCATTTTCCTTTGCATTCATCAGTAACACCCAAAA